CGAATGACATTGCATAGAATAACACCTACCATAGAGGTACGATCGTGGACCATTGTGGCGTTAGTTCACCGCACCCTCTGCCAGGTTCGCTGCAAGCGCGCGGTAACGGTTTTTAACACAGGTTTAAATAGGGAGTTGGGAGTCCTTATTTATTCTTTTGGTCCATGCCCGGAATCTGATGCTGACAGCTCCCGTGTCCGGCACCGAAAGCCAAACCAGGTGAGAGAAAAACATAACATAGCCGAACACTTGTGAAGATGTTCCTGGAATAATCGTTCCTTGCCGATATTTCCAGGGTCGTATTTATTACCGAAACAATTATCAGCCAAATGTTTTCAAAGGGATAAAAATACAAAAATTGGCTTTCTGAAATCAATATAACGACTGATTTTCATTTTCATACGAAACCTACAAAACCCAGATGAAAAGTCAAAATGCGGAACCGCGGAACGGTCCAACTGCCCAGCGTCCAACTCGGAACTCCCTAGTCCATCATCGTTCAATCTTCAATTTCATTTCATTCAATGGGACTCCCAAGCTCAAAAAAAGCTCTCAAGTTGAGGCCAAAATGGAGGGGATATCCCACTCTACCTTGAGAGTCTACGTCTACATCAAGAGAAACTCTCCATGCAAAGATAGGGAGCAAATGCTTGGACAGGAATGCCACTTTATTTGGGGACTCAAAAACTGAAAACACGGCAACCCTCCTAATGTATTTGCTCTCTATCTTTGCATGGAGAGTTTGTCTTGATGTAGACGTGGACTCTCAGGGTAGGCAGGGCTGTAGCCAGGATGGTATGATTGGGGGGGGGGGNCAACTACAGGATGCTTCTAGCATATTTCAGATAGGAAAAAAGGTGATAGGTCAAAATGTCCAAACAAAAATGTCCAAAAGTCAAAATATCCAAATCCTGAATGCCCAAAAATCTAAAAAGGCCAAACATCAGTAATGTCCAGCAGACAAATAAGTCCAAAAGTAGGTGAATGTCCAAATTAAGTTGTTATGGACAAGATTTTTTTTTTCTTCTTCTTTTTTTTTTTGGCTTTTCATGACAAACGGGGTATTATTAGCCATGTTTGTTATGTTTGTCAATATCACTTAAAATTTGGAAAATAAATCATAATGCATTTTTAAAAGTAAGAATTTGCCTGCTCTCATGAAAAATTGTATCACCATATTTTCCTGACCTGCATCTCTCCATTATCCGACGCATCTATTCCTATGGCTGCATTCACAAACAGCTTGCCAACCTGCACCCAAAAATCCAACGACAACTCAACCAATGCCTAATCTCACATTTGGACATTTGCCTACTTTTGGACTTATTTTTCTGCTGGACATTACTGATATTTGGCCTTTTTAAATTTTTGGGCATTCAGGGTTTGGGCATTTTGACTTTTGGACATGTTTTTTTGGACATTTTGACCCATCACCGGCAAAAATTGATTTAAGAACAATGTGTTTTCGGACGCGAGGCATTAGGGAAAACATAGGGTGGGATATTCCCTCCATTTTGGCCTCACTTTGAGAGCTTATTTTGAGCTTGGGAGATGATTTCAGAGAAAACCAGTGGCACCATCGTGTGTTTCTCGCGAACTTTTACACAAGAATCAATGGTCAAATCGCAAATCCCCCACACATGCAACATCTCCATTAAGACCTCGGAAATGATTTGATACATGTAAGGAACAATTACATTTACCAGGACTCACTTAACCCTTAAATACCCAAGCCAGGTCAAATTGATCCGGGGCTTGCTGAAAATATGTGACCCGTGGGATGTATGATGTCGGCAAAAACGAGCTTTAGATACAGGTCCTCAAATACATCGTAAAAAAAGAATAATCAGACATTAACTTAAAAAAATAGGAAAAAATCTAGAGTCACTACAGCCGGAGATAGGAGAGACGCAATAGGGTCTCGTTTCTTAACTTTTCTACCAAATCTGAGCGACGGCACCTCATCAGCAGCATGAGCAAAGACATAAAGACGGAGCACTCGTATCTAAAAGCACGGGGAAAAAGTGAAGCTAGGTTCGGCGCTGCGCGCTTGTGTGAGTGTGTAAATGAGCGCGGGAATCCATGGCGGCAAACGGAAATTTGATTTGAACTTGTCCTCTTGATTTTTGCACATTTCTTCTTTGAAACGTATTTTAAATTCCTAAAACGAATATACTAAGAAAGTTGGGTCTGCGTCCTAATATAATACACCTACTTTTGCTCGGTAACAGGCAGTAATCTCACATAAAGTTAGTTTTTCTTCTGCTCATGGTGGTTCTGCAGGTTCAAACAGGCCGTTACAGTTCTAGATCAACGTTACTCCCAAATGAAATTAATCGGTCGACGACGGACTGAAACTAACCTAAAGTTAAAAAAATATAAGTGTGTACCTGAATTTGGGCAAAAATCAACCTAAAATACTTTGTTTCCGCAATTTTATTTATTAGTTCCCGCCCTACATTTGAATTCAAACTTGTCCCGATTTCGCCGCCAATCTTCTAGCCAATAGTAGAGGTGATTGAAAAGAAGCTCTAGAAGCTTCATTTTTTGCTTTTAGTGCTCCGTCTTTATGTCTTTGAGCATGAGGCAGAGCGTTGCGAGTTCACGCCTCACGCCATCGCGCCTTCAATTTTGCAGATGCAACGACGACATCAATCAAGCACGAATAGTTGTATTTTTGCGCCGTCTTACCACAGGTCCTTTCTATTGCTCTAATTCCGTGTTGTATTGGTTCTGTTTGTCTTATTATTGTGGTGATGCTTCATGAGCTACGTGAGAAGCGCAGCAAAATATTTTAGAGACGAGATCGGGCCTTGATTTTGACTCTTTTCCCGAATCTGAACGATACCACATTGAAAGCATAGAGCGGAGCATTTCGAGTTCAAGTCTCACGCGCCTTCAGTTTTGCAGATGCAACATGAACATCCATCAAGCACGGATATTTGAGGAATGTGAAGGTTATGTTTGCTCAGATTATGCTATGATGTGTCCAAATCACTACTCATTTTTAAAAAAAAGGGGAAAAAGTAAAAACATATTTAGGGGTTTTCAAGAGTCGTGAAGGGCATACGTCTAAAAATTAGTATTTTGCCGAGAGTTATTGAATTTTTTTGACGACTATCCCTAGAAATCCCAAGCTGACTATCTCTTCTGGGGGAGTTACACATGCCAGATATGTAGGAGGGGAGTGAGAAAGAGTCGCTTTGACTTGACTTGGATTTTTGCGTATAAAAAAGTCTTGAGCATTTAAGAGTTCACAGAGGCTTATATGTGACTCGAATCGGATCGAATCCGGACCGAATCGGAAATCGATGATAAAAGTCGCTGTGCCGACCTACGTCATCAAAAAAATTTCAAGATGCCCGCAATGCAAAGACCTCCTTTTTATCTCTATGCCCTGTCGCCTGTCGCCTCATCTTCAAAAACAAGCTATCTGCGATCAGCGTGTGCGCCCTGGCTGTAAGACAACTCCACAAATAACTTGTTGATAAGTTGATAAGTTAATGATTCACCAACTCCTTTAGGATTGAGGAATAATAACCGAACTTTTGACTAAAGTCCGGGACTATAAATAATGAAATTAATTAAACCCCGCAATATCAGGGGGCGAAAAATCTCAATTTCGGGGGGGCGACGCCCCCTCTCGCCCCCCCCTGGCTACAGCCCTGAGGGTAGGGTGGGATATCCCCTCCATTTTGGCCTCAACTTGAGAGCTTGGATGACCAATTTGCAGCGCGGAATTTTGAATTCTTTTTGGAAGCAAGTTTTGGCGCTTATGGAATTTCTTTTGAAAGTTCAATCCGATAATGTTAAGAAAGCGCTGTAAAAAATAAATTTGATGCGACTGGTCGGAAAATAATGAATAATGTATGTTCTCTTGCCACTTGTCTCGGATGACCCTTCGCAGCGCGGAATTTTGAGTTCTTTTTCCGAGCATAGTTTGGCTCTTGAAGAAATTTTTGAAAGTTCGATGAAACAAAGATATAAAAAATGGAGAGAATGCAACTGGTCTCAAAATAATGAAAAATCCATTTTCTCTTGGCACTTATCTCGGATGACCATTGACCATCCGCATCGCGGAATGGTGAGTTCTACTTCCGAGGATATTTTTCCGCGTATGAAAATTTTACAAAGTTACATCCGAGAAAGACAAACTAATGATTGATTGATGACACCAAGGTGGAGGAAACCATGCTGTGCACTACCGCGATGGATCACGTTATAAGCCTTGATTTTCAATGAACGATATCTCCGTTGATTTAGACATAGAAACTTGGCGTTTGAAGAGATCTGATTATTTTTTTCTAATCGATGAGCTTATACCATCAAAACGCGATTTGGCGATCAACGCAATAGACCTTTGGCAGGGAAATTCAGTTTTTTCTTCCGAAATAAATCCACTTGAAAAGTATAGATGATGATCGAATCTGCTCGTGCGAAAACGTCCGATGTCCAATACAGTGTTTCAGAATTTGAAGGACGATTTTTTTGTAACTTACAGACACAAGATGGTTTCAGATGTTAGGAATGCGGAACAATTTTATAAAAAAAAAATCCCTTGAATATAATTAGACGCTCACTAAAGAGATCGATCTGTGTCGAGGGACAAAAGAAACCACTGCAATCATGAAACCCTGTATTGGACAACGGACGTTTTGGCACGAGCCGATTCAATTAAATCAGTGAGGACGAAAACACACCAACTCGGTAACTCGAAAATGCTCAACTTCCATGAAAGACATTTAATTTATATAAATGTCGTTTATGTTAGCGCATTCGTTCCAACTTGGACCTTTAAAGTGTCGACGCAAGTACTTGTCTTTCGGCAGCAAAAATATTTGTCTCAAAGTTACTTCTTCACCTACCGTGCGGTTTCGTGTGTGTCTTGATTATTTTCATTTTTCCAAGTTGGTGTGTTTACGTTCTCACTGATTCAATTGTACTGTTGAGTGATCAGAAATTATGTCAATCCAGAAAACTAAAATAACGTACCTTATGAGAGGCCCACAGCTATCAATTCTGAAACAGAAGATGGAAAGATCATTGTTATAATTGTTATTGTTAATATTACGCTTCTCATTGAAATGGAGAGAAATACAAATGAGGTAAGTTAAGTGGCACTGACACCCAACTAGCATGCTCATTTACTAAATACTGACTACATTTTGCAAGTAGGAACTATAGTTTCGAGCTCACTTTAAAAACAACGTATGAGCCATTCGTTTCCATATGCATTTATGTGATTTTACAAACGGGTCAGATATTGCAGTTCCTAATTGCAAAATGTTGTCCAATTCCTCATAAAAATTGCACATCAAATACTGAGGACACACTAAACATTGAAAAAAAAAAAACCGTCATAACGGTCCATTTTCACACTATCAGAGGGTCTATTTCTTGTATTTTCTCGGCATTCTTAGCCCCATCGTTGATATATTCCCAGAACTTCCTGCTGAGGGATGTAGCGAGAAGGCTTTTGCAACTGTTGTGGTATCTAGCACGAATGAAGGCTCCTTGTTCACCCGCAGAACGCTCGCATCGTCGCGTTCGTTGCGTCGCATCTGAAGAGCATTAAGTACGTGTTTTCAAGAGACTTAGATTTAAATAAAAAAATGTCTTTTTCAAATTGAATCAGTGAGAACGAAAACACACCAACTCCGTAACTCGAAAATACTATTTTTATGAAAGGCATTCATGTTTCATAAAGGTCATTGAAGTTAGCGCATCTGATCCAGCCTATACCTTCAAAATGTATTGAAGGGCTTGTTCTTCGGCACAAAAAATATTTTTCTTAGGCCACTAGGACGTATTTCTATCAAACAGAACTGTGTGCAGGTGAGAAATATGGGGTGTGCTCTAGAAAGCTGCATAAAAAGCAATGTAAAAGTGGGCGTGATTCCTTTTGAAGAATTGGAAAAGCGGGATTTTACATTCTACCAATAGGAACTAAGCGCCAACTGATCGTTAATGCGGGATATATGAGCCGCGGGCATGGCACGAGAGGGCTGTTAACAGGGCTCATGAGTTAAAATGGCCCACGAGCGACAACGGCGACAGTTTCTTTGCCACTGACGTTACTGGCGCACAGTGGGACGAAATGGGTAAAACCTCGGACATGGGGTGTTCTCAGTTTTTGCATAGAGATGTGATGGAATGTGTTCCTAAGGATCCATATTATATGAATCTAGTGTTGGTTTGATGATTTTTTCAAATGCTTTTGCTCCCTGGACTCCTGAAGTTGACATTTTCTGTAACGGCCGATTTCGCTCTGTTTTCTAAGGTCGGTTTCCATACCTGCCTCTTCGAGTGACGATAATTGACACAAATATGAATGCTTGGATCTTATTCTAGAGTGTATGAAGAACATATTTCACTATTAAAAAGTTATATTTACTCAATTGTATACGTTGTAATGTCTGATCAAAGATGACCCTTCCGGAAATAAGAAAATAAATGTTTGAATAGACTTTTAAAAATTTCGCCGCATTTCGCCGTCCAATCATGCATAAGGCGTGTTCCAGTGATCCCCCAGGATGAGGAATCCGTCGTATTTGGCTGCCACCAGCTGCCGCTTTGAGAGTTACATCGATTTTTGTCCGAAAAAGTCAGGGCGGAATTCGCTGTTTCTCTACATCTTACTTGATTATCTTGGCGTCTTAATACACTCAGTCGGATTTTCATTTTGAAACTTGATGTACTTACAGTATTTTAATCGTAGAATTCAATTTTGACCTTACTTTTGCCCATTTTTTGGCCAAAATTCATCATTTGATAGGTTCGCGAACTCGCGATCGAGGCGGGGAAACAGAGCGGTTTTTGCTTTTATCTTATATGATTGTTTGGCATTTTAAGGAGAAAAGAAAAATGTTGAATGTTCCATCAATACCTTTGAATGAATTATTCATCATCGTTTCGGGGGTTACATCCCCTGACCACTTCGCAGCCGAACCTCCCGAAGCGCTTGGCGCTTCAGGCGTGGTATATATAAAATCCTTTACAAAGCGTTGGAAGTGTCCCAGCTGATTCTGAGATATCGTGATTCGTGATATGAGATGGACCGATTTACCGTGCAATTTAATCTCGTTGTTAGTGTTGATCTTTGATTTTCCGTGTTTTGTGTTGTTCCGTGTTCCGTGTTTTCTGTTTGTTTAGTTATAATTCCTCAAATAAGAAGAAATCAGAAGTTCTCGATCCTTAGGACATCCACCGCGAGCTTTTGATTTCAGATCTTCATGAAGATAGCGGTGTCGATCTTGATGAAAGAGGGTACTACCACAATTAATTGGAATTGTCCATATCATCAAACAGTTGGGACTAAACCCCTATCTCTTTTTTTCAGTGTAGAAGGTAACGGTAATACCTGTATTTTTTTCATAATCGATATAGAAATATGAGCACTCATTACATTGAGAGATCACATAGTATCGATAAAAATTGCTTCCTCAATGAAAATATCACAGGAAATCAATAGTTGCAACATGAATTGTCAATCGGAACAGATAAAATATCTCTGCGTAAATTTTCTTTGTGCATTCCGATCGATAATTGAATAAATCCTTCAAAAGCACGTATGCAAGAGAAAAAAATAACAAAATTAAGCTCAAAAATTGGTTCTAAGATGAAAGTATGATCGTGCATCAACAATTCAACAGGTATTTTCTACCAGAACGAGCTAATTCTATCTTCGAGTAACTTTTCTTTTCACATTTCTACCTGAAGTTTAAAAAAAAAAAAAAAAAAAAAAACCAAAGTAGTGTAATTACGTTAACATACAAACAATTCTAATGTCAAAAATGAATTCTAACGTTCAAAATACCATAATTGGACCAAATTTCAACACGAAATTCCGACATGAATGAGTAAAATTTATCTTTGAGCAACTTATCTTTTTATGTTTCCGCTGAAAGTTTGAAAACCCACAAAAATTGTGCGTTTGCGTTGACATATCAAGAAAAGTAAGGCCAGAAATGAATTCTACGATCAAAATACCACAAGCCTGCGAAGTTTCAACACGAAATGTCCACAGGAACGAGTGAAATTTATCTTTGAGTAACTTATGTTTTCACGTGTCTACTGAAAGTTAAAAAGAACCCCCAAAATTATGTGTTTCCGTCAATAAAGCAAGTAAAGTAAGGTCAAAAATGAATTCTACGATCAAAATACCATAAGATGCCCAAGTTTTATCACGAAATGAGTAGTACAGAAACAGGGATATGCCGACACCTATGCCAGAAGACAGAGGGAATCGTGACCACTGTGCGACGTTACTGGCGACTGATTAATTGTTGCGGGTTGCCTATCTATCGTTACCAGTGTTGTAAAATTGTGCAGAAAAATGTTGATTATTTTAGGATGATTTTGCAACCATGGTGTGACGTCACTAGCGACTGTTGCGGGTTGCCTACCTATCACCTGCGTTGTCAGACTGAGCAGGAAAATCGTGATTAATTGCGGGTATTGTTGAAAAATTTGAGGGAAAATCTGGATTATTTTAGGATGCCTGATTTTACAACCATGGTGTGACGTCACTAGCGACTGGTTAATTGTTACGGGTTGCATACCTATCAGGGGTGATGGGTAATCGTCATCAGTCTAGTAAAATTGGGACAGAAAAATCGGAGTTAATTTACGGGTGTTGGATGTTTTACTGGGTGATATAGCATTAATGATGTAAAATTGAGCGGGAAAATTTCGGGGGTGTTTTACTGTATAAAATGATAGCCGTCTTTACGTGCTGTGACGACGATACACCAAACAACATTGAAAAATTGAGCGGGGAAATCGTACTTATCCCCGGGGCCCGGGTGAATTTTCAAAATTGAAGACCAGCAAACGATTTCCCCAGACTTTTGACAAGAGTCGTGCAATGTAATCACCCCGTACAACGGTGAAAATTTCCGAAATTAAAGATTGAAAAATTCGAGTGTAATCTTTGTGCGTATGATTACCTTTTCAAAATTTTCCCGTGCAATTTTTCTGTCAACAGTCATCTAAATTTTCAATTTCGGAAATTTCCCCCGTGTATCATCTCTCCTATGAATTTAATTGAATACCAACAGACATTCGTTTGTCTTTCCGTGACGATACCTGCTCTATTACCAATCATACACGGTGCGACTGGTTTTTTACCATTTATTCGTTGAGGCTTGTACAACCATTCGGGTAAATACGTTTGACCGTTGCCTACGAGAATGGAGAGGCCGTAACTAGTCAGTTACGGCCACTGTGTGACGTCAAGCTAGTCAAGAGTGGCGGTAGCCACCCCCGGTCGAGGAAAATGACATCCTACAGTGCAGTGTCCAATGGAAATAAGTCAAATTTTCGAACATATAAAATGAAAAAAATAATGAGATATACGAAAAATGGGGACATGGTGGTATTATTTTCAATGTTTGTTCACTGATTTGCATCGAATTGGCGTGAGGGGAGGTGATGAGATTTAAGCTCCGTGCGCGGTGACCGGTAGCCGATGAAGCGCAAGTGTTGTGATAGCAGTGATCAAGGCTGATTGACACGGTACCTAATGTCCGGTTGGTGATTAAAATGGCTACGAACACTCCTGGTAAGTTATTTAATTAAGATTTAATCGTAAAAATTATTTTTTCAACTTCTAAACATTACTTTTGAGCACGTTTTCCGATGGTATTCTAATTTAATATTCTTCCCTCTTATTTAAACTTTAAAGACGCTCTTAAGAAAAACCAAAAATAACCTATTTTCCTGACAAGTGATAATGATTGCAAATTTCCTGTAGATTCTAAATTTTCAAGTCCCATCTGCGTCTGGCTGCGAATAATAAAGTTATATCGTTTTTTCTGTCTCAAGGTCTTGCTCTGAAAAACTCTGATTATAGTCCAGGCTCCTGGTAAGTCTACCGGAATTTTGGGTGCACAGCGATTTTTTTGGCTTACTATATGTTTTTGGGGTCGCTGGATCCGAATCTGATGTTTCCTACCGCATACCCGGTGAGCATTTTCCGCCATTTTGAAAAAATGGCCTAAAAAGGCCTTTTTTCGCGG